ACTTTTCGACCAACTTCGACGGCAACTAGCATACGGCGACAAATATTCAAAAATAGACTTGAAAGATGCTTATTTACAGTTTGAAGTAGCGCCAGAGTCGAAGAAATATACGACAATATCCACACACAAAGGGTATTTTGAATACAATAGGATGCCTTTTGGTATCACAACAGCCCCAGCAGTATTTCAACATTTCCTGGATAAACTGTTGGACGGTGTATCAAACGTAGCGGTTTATTTCGACGATATTGCAGTGACCGGAAAAGACGATTCCACACATCTACAGACATTGTCTACTGTGTTCACGAAACTAACAGAAGCTGGACTAAAAGTAAACCTTAAAAAATGCTCATTCCTACAGCCAGAAATCGAATATTTAGGGCATGTCATCGACAAGAATGGAGTACGCCCAACCAAATCTAAAATTGAAGCAATTTTGAAGGCCCCGGCTCCTGAAAATACTAAAGAACTTAGATCATACCTCGGACTGTTAAATTTCTATGAACGTTTCATCCCACATCTTCATAGTATCTGTGCGGATCTACATACTCTTACGGGTCAGCGGCAAAGGTGGAAATGGACTGAACACGAGAACAGTGTATTCAAGAAAACAAAAGCACTTATAGCAAACACCAAACCACTAATAGCTTTTGATGAGAAGCAACCACTTTTTTTGGCTTGTGACGCGTCTGAGAAAGGCGTAGGTGCCGTTTTATACCACGTCATTCGAAATCAAGAACAGCCTATAGCTTTTGCTTCGAGAAAACTAAAACAAGCAGAAAGCCAGTACTCTGATATTGACCGCGAAGCACTAGCAATATTTTTTGGCGTAAAAAAATTTGATCAATACCTTCGAGGTATACATTTCACCTTAGTAACTGACCATTAACCCTTAACCCACCTACTAGGAGTTAACCGCAACTTACCGAAATTGGTGAACAATCGCCTTGTAAGATGGGCGTTATTAATCGGGTGTTACGACTATAACATTGTTTTTAAAAAGGGCGAAAATAATAACCTGGCCGACTTTCTCTCTAGATTACCAAATCCAGAAGAGAAAATGTCGAAAGAAGAAACCACTATAAAAAAAATTACTAACCTATTGCAGTGGAACAAGTTTGATGATCTAACACTAACAGAAAGCCTCATTAGAGAACATTCAACCAATGACTCAATTCTGAAAGAAGTAAAACAATGTATAAGTACTGACTGGAATGGCTCACAATACCAAAAAAGTGAACTCAAGCCATACTTTAGAAAACGCAACGAGCTGTCGGTAGAAAAGAAAATAATCATGTGGCAAGGAAGGATTGTAATTCCCGAAACACTACGTAAGGCAACACTGAAATATCTCCACAGGGGACATCCCGGCATATCCGCAATGAGGGCACTGGCGAGATTTTATGTTTGGTGGCCATCAGTGGTGGACGACATAGATACTTATGTCAAACGTTGTCAAAATTGTCAAGCAAATAGACAAAATGGTCCCGAACTACCCGTCTACTCGTGGTCTATACCTGACAAAGTTTGGGAAAGGATACATGTCGATTTTACTGGCCAATTTGAAGAGAAATACTGGTTTGTTTTATCTGATGCACTCTCCAAATGGATCGAGATAAAACCTATGATGAAAATCACCACACAAAAGTTATGTGAAAAACTCGAAGACATATTTACAACATTTGAATTACCAAAAATAATAGTTTCTGATAACGGGCCACAGTTTACATCACAAGATTTCCAAGAGTACTGCAAAAATAGAGGAATCCTACATGTCACGTCATCACCATATCATCCACGAACTAACGGGTTGGCAGAACGACTTGTACGTACTTTCAAGACCAGAATGGCTGCCAGCGAAGATAAAAAACATCCTATAGAAAGGCTTAATGAATTTCTCTTCACATATCGCAATACACCTCACAGTACTACGGGCAAATCACCTGCCCACATGATGTTTGGACGCCAGTTAACTTGTGTACTAGCTAATGCACGACCAAATACGAGACAAATGTTAGAATTCAAACATCTACAAGCTAATATAAATAGTGATCATCAAACTCCTACCTATCAACCCGGTGACCCAGTTTATGTGCGAACCAAGACTGATTCAAAATGGAAACCAGCAATTATATCTGAACGAACGCACCGATATTCTTATCTTGTACAGACACCAGAAGGTATAGAGAAGCGTAGACATGCAGATCACATCCGCCCTCGGGATATGGAAGACATTGAATCGTCCAGTAATAAAACCCCTTTGTATAACTCTAGCGGGGTGACTGAAAGAGAAAAATCAACCAACATACCGGGGAGCAGGCTGTCAAAATCAAGTATAGAAATAATATCCAACAGTAACCCCTTACCACCTCCTGGAACACCACCATTTCAAGATAAATCACCAATAACAATGATAGACCCAAAATTAGCATTGAACACAAGAAACTAATGTCACCACCACACCGACATCGAGTTTAAGGTACAGCAAGCGCACGATCAGACGTCCACAACGTCTCATTGAGCAAATAGAGTGACCGTGGAGGAACGTTGTAACCTAAGGTTTTAGTTCCATGCAAGATAATTTGGACGTTTTTAATTTTAGTTTTGACATTATTAGATTGTCATTAATTTTGAATGTTAATAAAACCTTTTTAATTCATAACAATACCTACATAAGTAAATATAAATTGACGCTAAACTTTACGTGACGTTAACTAGGCATCTACCTACATCTTACTAATAGGTTTATAACTGCCAAACTGACCCATAACCTATGATTTTTTTTTAAGTATACCATACATACCTACCTAATAGGATCTTTAAGAAACCGAGAAAATCTTTTAATATAGTTTATTCATATAATTTTTTGCTGCACAACTTTGATCAGACATATTAAAACACGTAAAAGTTAACAAATTAACACTGGAAAACAATGGAAAACAACTACTATATAAAAAGTGTCAAAAAATATCTACAATTCTAAAAAAATAAAAATAACTACATAATACACACATCACAAACAAAATAAATTTAAGACCCACGCTACTGATTCCGAGCTGCTGCAACTTGTTTGTTTTTGTCGATATAAACGACGACCGTGACGCCACTGGCTTGATTGAGAGGTTGGACCCCAAAATGGCGGTGTGCGCGTAGATGTGCGCGTAGCGTTGCCGCCAAGACAAGTTAGCCTGCCGATTGTTTCTTATGTCGTGCCTAATACCATTCCTACTCTGAGATAAGTTTCATTTTTTTTATCATTGAAATTAAATAAAGAAGTAATTTATATGAATCATGGCTTATGTAGATTGTAATTGTTACTTGCCTGCATAAACATATACATTCTTGTTTAGTTATATTAATTATATTTCCCAAACTATTATAATTCACCTTAAATGATATGTTTTTGTAAGTTTGGTGGCGCCCTCCTTCCCTTTCCTATTAGGGGGCGTCCATTAATTACGTGAGGTATTTTTGAGGATTTTTTGACTCCCCCTCCCCCCCTGGCGAGATTTGGTAAGATTTTCCTTAACTCCCTCCCCCCCCCTTCCCTAATCTCACGTGAGATTTTTCAAAATTCGTGTTTTGGGTGTAAATGTGTTGGATTATTAAAAAAAAACAAAAACACAATATGTTCCATTACTTTTATTTAAGACTAGCAAAGACTAGTGTTTGAGAGTGTTGCAATTATTTAAAATCACATTAATAAAATTAAATGATAAATACTTAAATGGAAATTAATAAAAAATAAATAAACATAATTATAAGATTTTTCCATATTTTATTCTAGAAATACTTTTACTATAATTTAACTTTACTTTCACGCAATTTTACACCGTTTTCTACTAGAAAAAAAATTACGTGAGATTTACGAAACCCCCCCCCCCCTCCCCCCAAGTGAGATTTAGAAAGATTTAGTTTTATCCCCCCCCCCCCCCCCCTTGAACACCTCACGTAATTAATGGACGCCCCCTTAGGCATTCCAAACTGAATGGCTACCAGTGGGTTATGATATGGCAAAATTATGGCAACCCTGAAGGCCTGGTGATTTGACAAGGTCAATGAAATAGATAGTTACATAGATTGATCATCCATATTTTTCAAAATAAACATAAGCTTATGCCTTGAAGTAAAAATATAAGCAATTATTTTTTAAATATCTAAAGGTTGAAAATTGGTTTTAAAACACATTTTTGCTAAACAGAATCAAATTAATAAATATTTACCAGGCAATATGGCCGCTCGTAAACAACCAGCTTTGAGCAATCTATATAACTATATATGTATCATTGACCCTGTTAATGACAACTTGACAACAGGGTTGCCATATCTAAACTGTCATTACCCACTGGTAGCCATTTGGACAGGTCGTTGGAATACCTAAAGTTGTTTTGTCAAGGTTATTAAGTGCTACTCACGGCCCTAATTAAAATTGAGCTAAAACACGGTAAGTAAAACCAACATCACATGTTACAAATTAAAAAATAACAACGGGATTTAACCATAATAAGGATGCTAAAAACAATTTTATTCTTGTAATAATTTATCTTCAATGCAACTAAATAAGAAAAAGAAGTAAATGAATATTTATCGTCATGATATGATAGAAAATAAATTACCAACCGGTAATCTCTAAAAAAATACGCACGACAATTCACCTATAAGTGTTCAATGAAACCTTCAAATCGTAATATTTCATTTGTTAGTATTACTGCAGTAGAGAAAATACGTCATCTATGACGTGCATTGGTTTTTATCTTAAACTAGATAATAATACCGAGTTTAAGGTTTTTATATTGTATGAAGCAGAGTATGAAGTATATACACACACACTTAGGTATATTTTTTATTTATTGTAGTGAAATTTTTAATTCCTATTTTTACTTACATTTTTGTTATAATTTATCTGCTTTATAATTAGAATTGCGTGTTGAGCAGTGTAACAATAAACAAAAAAATATAAATAAAATAATTATAATAATAAATTATGAAATTTTTATTTAATTATTTAAAACCCATCAGCGGTAAAAGTAAACACATCGATAATCCCTCTCCTCATTACAACACAGTTTATCACACATATCGGTTAGCTTAATAAAATTCATGTCACAGACCTTGAACAGATATTAGTTGTTTTCTGTCTCGGGACACGGTGTGAAAGTGCTTGACAATGACAGCATATTTCATTGGTAAGTATAATTTAAAATTCGGCTTTTACTTAAAACTCGCATACAAAAATCACAAAGCCGCGTATTTTCTGTATGTTTTGATTTAATTATTATCAATTATTTTTTATCATAATCGACTAAGTAATCTTTTAAGTTTAAATAAGAATAATAATGTTTTTAAATTTTAGGTATTGACGTTGGAACCGGTAGCGTTAGAGCTGCGTTAGTAACAGATACTGGAGAAATTATAAAAATAGGTGTCAAAGAAATTAAAACATGGAATAATCAGACTGATTTTTATGAGCAATCGACTGATGATATTTGGAATGCCATAATCACCTGTATCAAGGTCAGAAACATTGTTAAAAAAATATTCTTATATTAGTTGTATTCAAAGCCCAACTCACAGCACAATTAATGTTTTAAATATTTTAAACTGCAAATGTGTATCTAGATAATATATGGAATCATTCATTTTTCATTCATGGATTTATCTGAGCCTTCTGGGGCTATTTTGTCGGCCTTCTCAGATATCACAAGTCAATTCATTGGATGTTCATCGGAAGTCCATTGATGGACATATCGGCTGTCCAAAGGACGTCCACCATTTTACCGAAGGATATCCAATGGACTATATAAATGTCCCACTCCTGGACGTCCATTTGGACTCTTTTTGTATTGCTTTTGGCCAATTTATGGATATCTGATGAACATCACCACCTACATTAATAAGAACTAAAATGATTGCAACTATCAACATATTTGTATTATCATAAATAATATCAATCATGTATTGGTTTTATACGCACTCCTTTCTGTTGACCTTCTTAGCCATAAGTCTATTTCACTTATTATTTTAGCAATACCATTGTCTCTCTCAGCAGCACCTAAAAAAAGACATTACATTTTATACGAATATTGAGTCTTAAATCTTTCTTTTAATAAATGCCTGATCAGGCAAACCTGATAGTTAAAAATGTAAAACAACTAATATGAAAATATGCATTGACTAATGTACTTTGTCCCTATACTTACATATAAACAAAAAACTGCTCATTGCTTCTTTAAATGACCATTTTACTTTCATACCATCATATTATGTGAATACTTTTGTGAGGGTATTAGAAATTATGGCAACAAAACATAGCTTTATTAGTTCGTACATATCCTTGCCCTTTAGTAACTGTTGAATCTTAAATTGCAATAAAAATATGTATTTGTGAATATTAAAAAGAAATAACTTATGAAACCACTTTCAATGCATTATTTCTTAAACGTTACAAAAGGATTCTATTTTATTTAATGAAAGTGAAACTTACAGCTTCTTTAAAAATATTTGTATCTTCTAAATAGCCTTTTTTTTTCTTCTGCTTTAGAGGGTTTCTCACCTCTATTAGTTACAATAATAATTGGGTTGACATCATCTCGAATTTGCAGCATATTAGTTAGCTTTTAATAAAGCCATTGTCTTAAATAGGTACATCATTTGACAAAAGGTCTATAAAAAAGGGATTCTTTAAATGTAAATCAAAAATATAAAGTTTAAGACATAATTGTTAGGTTATATTAGTTTGAAATAAACGATTTGCATCTTAATTTTTGGATTTTTAGATAATTTAAGGTTATTTAAATTTATTTTCTTACCAGATAAACTCGTGTGCCGTTCTTGTCTCTTGTTTTAGTCCCTTTCTTCCTCTTTTCTTCTTCAAGTCTGGCCTGAATGGCCTTTTAATTTTGTATCTTGCCAAAAGTAGCGAAGAGGTAAAGAAAGTTAATTGAATCCCAAACAACACACCAAATCCCAGAGATATCCACAGAATATATTTTGTGGATATCCAATATATCCACAGGATATCATAGATATCCAAATGTCCATCTATATCCAAGATATAGAAGATATCCTATGGATATCCAGCAAAATATCTAATGGGTCTCTCCTAGACAATACACAAAATCCCAGAGATATCCACAGAATATCTTTGGTTGGTATCCAATTTATCCACAGGATATTAAAGATATCCAGTGGATCTAATATGGATATCCAAATGTCCGTCTATATCCAGGATATAGAAAATATTAATTAATTAATGGATACCTTTAGTAGAGGTTCATGAGTAACCAATGGATATATCCTACAGATGTTTAACATATCCAATGTACATCCATTATGTAATATATTTAAGATATCGAAAATGATATGCATATAGGGTATCGTATTTAATGTTTCATTAATTTTTTTTTTTTAAAGATAAGTGGAACAATGTACTGTATAATCTAAAAACATTCCATATGAAAAAAATCAGCATTTCAGTAGCATAACATCGGAATGCCCTGTATTTATAATTTGGTATATACACCCATACAAGGTTTACTATTCTAATGTTAACTATTTTTGACGCTACGCAGCATAGGTATAGCAAGTAGAGTAGAAAGAGTATCACTATTTTATTTTTACAATTAAATATTGTGCACCATACCTAAAAAACCACCAAAATATCATTGAATATGTGAAGTAAGTTTTAAATTGAATACAACGCAGGAATTATCTAATATATAAGCATCTTACAAATAAATCTTATTCTTTATTGTTATATTAAGTATAGTTATGTAAAACAAAGACAAATATTATGAGCAGGCTAAATATATTTAAAATTGTAAACTATAGTGTAAACATATTCATATTATATTAAATAACATATTACCACAGAGGATGTAAGTACAGAGAACAAACTCGGTGTCGGCACGATTGATCTCGCTAAGTCACCGGCGGCCATGTTCAAATTATAGAAGTCAGGCCCGCATTTTGATAATTATGTTACCAAAGGGAAGATCCGTACTCAAGAAATTCATTTTGGTAAGGATGTGGTGTGTTTTGAATTTAATTTTATTTTTTAATTTGAATTATAACTAAAATCAGGTACGAGTTGTTTTACAGGGTGTAATGAAAAGATATATCAGGATTTAAAAAATAATTTCTGGAAATAAAGTCGCGTGTATAGTAAAATCCATTCTTGAGATAGTTTAAAATTATATGAACAAATTTATAAAACTATGAGTAGTATAAAAATATTTTGCCTAGATCCAGTTATTCAGGACAAAAATGACCTGAACTTAGATTTACATCGGTCATAAATATAGTCTGGTGTAGATTTTTAATAAATGATATTTTATATACTAAGCTGTCCATGTAAGTATACAAATATTTGGAATACATAAAGAAACACACAATGAAATATAATAGTATATTACGTAACAAGAGTTGTAAGTAACCCATTACGCAGCGGTGAGTGCGTAAATTTTACAAGTGCGTAATGGGCTTATAACTCGTGTAACGTACTATACTTTTTCTACGCCCACTTATTTTCTTCTATTAAATAAAGGACATATGCTTGTGTCGCTAATCCATAAATTTTCGATGGGTAATTTCGTACCTTTTTTGTATTTAAGCGGTAGCAAATTATGTAGCTAGAGTTTGAGCTCTGGTGGAGTGCTCATAATCTCATCACTACTAACAGATATATTCATAGGTAGAGTTAAGAAAATGTTCAAATACAATATTTAGTATAATGTATAATGTGTTGCCGACATTTAGGGGCATAATTATTTTAATCCAAAATGTATATCGCTATTGCTAAAAGTTTTTATGTTTTTAAATTGACTAAATTTATGTAAATGAACCAAATAAAGTCTTACGTAGATAAAAATTTGATTGCAATTTAATTAAACTAAGAAATTTAAGTTTTTTTTATCAAAAAGCACGTGTATATTATGAGATCTCATTACGTGCATGTTATTGTTAAATGTCATTTACAAGAATGTTGACAGTACGATTTTTAACGTTTACTGACATGGGCGTGGAAAAATTTTTTTTATTGGTTTTTCCATATTAACACTTTAGCGTTATTATCCACGCCTTTCAAATTTCTATTAATATTTTTTATAGAAAAATATATTCTCACCCTAAAATATAATTTGGAAAAATTAGGAAGAGTTGATTTAGAATTAAAATCAATTGAATCTACTTATAACTTTCTAAATTACCTTGGCCATTTTGGAATAAATTATTTACAAGCAGTTAAAATAAATCTTTTGTCTCTTTATACCTACTCTAATATCGAATACTTAATTTTGATAATTAGTCTCCAAATAAAGGACAATTTTAAATTCAGTAATTATTTTTCCAAGAAAATAATAATATGAAACAAAACCCATTTAGTAATAAATAGCAACAGTAGGTATAAACTTTCTATGGGCAAAATAAAATAATTATATTTTGAGAATAAAGCTAGATTTGTGTACAGTTTTATATAATTCTAGTAGTTATTTTAGGAATAAATAGGTCAATTGACCAACTGTAGAACACTAGAATAAAATAAAAAATGACAGGTACATAAATCCACCATAAACAATAATAAGTTGATAAGTACATTTTATTCATCTCTTAAAAAATTAATTACTCATTAAGTGTTTACAAATAAGTATTTAATATATTTTCCCCATATATAAGTTAGTCATTTTATTATCTTTATTTCAGTGGATAAGAGCTATTGCTTCCATAAAAAGATCGAACTCCTGAAAATTGTAAATTTTGAAACCATTTGCACAATTTTCAATATATGTGCATGAATATTTTTTGGTAGAAATATTGTATATTTTACCATGTTTCTGCACTATAGTCCCCAAAAAAGTTTGCAGAAAGAAGAAAAAAAAAAATGACAGTAACTGTAAAAATTTATTTTTATTTTAAATATTCCAATCTTTTACCCGATTTTAAGGTTGTTATAGAGAAATATGTTCTTTACAATTTTTATAGAAAATATTTTAGATTTTTTAAACAGAAAGCTTTAAATGAAAAATTACAAATGAACGTATTATGCCTTAAAAAATAATTTTTTTTATACAAATTATAGAGCTAACAATTGGCTACAAATTGAAAAAAAATAAAAATCGGATATATTATGGCAAAATTGTATTATTTAAAATAAAAATTATTTTTACGGTTACTTTCAATGTTTTCCTTCATTCTGCTATTTTTTCATGATTGATTTTGTAGTGAAGAAACATAGTAAAATGCACTATATTTTTACAAAAAAATAAACGTGGACCTACATTAAAAATTCTACAGATAGTATAAAAATTTATAATATCCGATCATTTTACATTTTAACCGAAGCAATCTTAAGACTTTTTTCTCAACTTACCTTCTTTCGTCCTTAGGAAAACCGAAAATCTCAACTTGCAGTTGTACGTCTTGTTTGGACAATTTCTTGCTGCACAAACCAATCCACCTTTAATATTGCTCATTGTTTATCGAGTTACAACAAATAAACTTACAATATAATAATAACA